AAAAAATAGAGCTACTTAATTAAAAAAATAAAATTAGATGAAGAGAGACAGATTACAGTAAAAGAACACTGGTCACATAAGATATTTTATTGGTAAATAAGCTAAACTGACAAGAAATTCACCTGAATGCAAAGGCAAATAGAATGAGAAATATTGGAGCTGCAGATTTACACTACAGATAGGGGGGAAATGAGTTAGTAAAATAACCTGTCAGAAGAAAAAATTATTACCAGAGACTTAGTATATAGCAATAAGGTAGAGAGAGCATAACTAACCATTGTGGCAAATGTAACAGAGATGAAAACAAGGGACACATTGCTCAAGTTAACATCGAATGCAGTTCCAAGAGCTGTTGGTACAACTGTGAAAGGGAAAGTCCATCTGTAGCATTAGTTGATAGAAAAGTTAATTGGCAAGTTATAATAATTTCACAGCAGAATGAATAGAAGACTACAAAAAAAAAAAAAAAAAACAGTAGTAAAACTTAAATAATAAAATCCATTATATCTCATCACCTGAAGTAGCTGATGAAATTGTTTAATTAAAAATATTCTTTAGATGGTAGCATCTCCCAGTGTCTAGGACTCGTGTGCTACTCTATTTGCATAATCATATAATTCACATAGAAGCGCATTAGCAGGGCTGGCTATGGCTATCCTTATATGAATAAGCCAAATGCGCTTTCACTACAGAAGCTAATTGATTTCAAATCAACACAGAGTTTCATTGCAAACCAAAAGGAGAAGTCCACTGAAAATTTTCTTCTTTTGAAGTTGAAATGTCATTCAGAAAGCAGCACGTATTTTACACGAGACTGCCAACACCTTTTGAGACACCAACTTATCTTCAATTTACCATGACTCCACTCTAACCAGGATAACATCCTGTTTCGGTAACTAGGTGATATATAATATTCAATGATAATCAAAACAAAAGGGCTTTCCAATCTCACTAAAGATCAGTTGCGGAAACTAGCACAGGAGCCCTGTAAGAAGAGAAAGACACTAGGTTTAATCAAGGGTCGGTTAATTCTTAAACCAAAATGTTAATTCACTCTATCATAAGAAAGAAAGAAAAAACAGTGACCAATTGAACAGCTTTTCCAGCCATTTCGCAGCCAATTCAGACTATCATCCCTGAACAAATGAAAAATCTCGATCCCACAGAATTCTTATTCGAAATCCATGACTTCATTACAGAGTTCAATATTTAAAGTACCTAGAATTAAATCCCACACATCATTTACAGAAGAAAAACAACTAAAACACAACAATTATCAACTCCAATTTCGACACTAGTTTTAAATATGATATAGGAAAACAGAAACGCAAAAAAGAGCTACTACCTCTTATAAAATAATCCTTCCACGACATAGCAACATTCGGCCGAAATCGATCAGACCAGTACCAAGTAACAGCCGTGGATAAAACAGCTTGCATTGTGAAATGGACAGTATTCATCAACAACGGAGCTGGAAATCTCCCCATATCATCTCCTAACAGAGTTTTATTGTACCTAATCAATCCAAAAAAAAAAAAACCACCCACTAATTAAGAGGAAAATAAAAAAATGAATAAAAAGAGAGAAAGAAGGTGAAGAAAGACTTACAAGGTTAAAAAAGTGCTGAAAGTGTACCAAACAAGAATAAAAAACAGAGTCTTCAAAATATCAGCAGCGGATACAGGAGTAGGAGGAGACTTCTTCGACGACAAAGAATCGATGGCGATGCCGTTGACATCGGAATCGACATCAGAATTCCTCCTCCTAGAGTTTTCAATGTCGAAGGGAACGCACTTGTCTTCTTCAGAATCATCATGACTCCCTCTGTTTCTGTTCTCTAAATTACAGCCATTCAATTCCATGCTCGAATTCTTATAGATCTATCGATCTTGGGATTCACTCAAAATCGACCGGGATTTGAAGAATCTACCATGGGAGAGACCTGGAAGAAGAAATCAGGTCTCCTTGTGCTGCATTTGGCTGATAAGATCTAAAATAAAACCCACGAGCACGAACTCTAGCATGAAGTGAGAGGGCTTTTTGTTTGGATTGGAGTAAAAGCAAGGACCCTCCCCTACCTAATCTTGTATATGGTAATCTGTCGATCGATCAGCTAAAAGTCAGAGACAGTCAGAGTTTTATTGCCGGTCAAATCACAAATTCGTCCCCCAAATTATAAATGTTCTCTTGATTACTCCTGAAACTATCAATTTCTTAGACCTGGCCTTGGCCCCCACCCTTTTTTTAGCTTTAAAGCAAAGCAATAAAAATCACCGAATGTGTTCGGTGAGACTTCAGATATTTATTAAATTATTAAAGTATCATAGGTTGCTGGATTTAGACTTTTTTTACAATAAAATCCTAGCCTCCAAATCTGAGCACGTCTCCTTCATATTTTAGTCCCAACGATCCAATAACCTCTTAACCTCAAGCTTTGAAAGCTTACATGAAACATCTATTTTAATGGGAAATACATCACTATAAAAGGCATGACATGTTATTATAATGTATTTGCTAGGTTCTTGCTTGGAGAAATATATCCTAAGAACATGAAGAACAATGTGATAGCTACGTAAAAGAACAGGGGTATTTTATACTATTTATTGCACTGACACATCAATTCGTAGGAGGAGTTTTTGGTATAAAATACCTTTGACAGGTATGCTTGTGCGGTTGGTACAGGAAATGCAACGTGGAAAACCATCGAACTCTGAGGATGGGAGGGTGCAATAATCACGGGTGGAGGTCCGGCGGAACAGTTTGTGTCTTTGGCAGGGGCAGGAACTGTCTTAGAAGCAGCCACCTTCTTTTCATAGGGTTTCTGCAGACGTGCTTCTTCTATGCTTTGATATTTTCCGGAATACCTCCCCTTTCCTTTCCCATCTGTGTATAGATTATGTTGTTACAGCTTAATGCCCAAAACTTTCTGCTTTCTTTCATGGCCTTGCACTTGATGGTATGCCTAGGACACCAAACTAACTAGAGCTTAGATTCTTGTTCTTATCGTCATTGTTCATGGTTAAAAAGTAATCACCATTACATCCAGATTCAGCACAGATGCAAAGGTGCAACTGTCTATTTGCCATTTATTTTTTAGGGTTCATCACCACTCACATAATTGTTCATCAGTAAATCGCCTTTGCGCCATCTTTTTGTTACCGTTACAAGTTACCGAGTGTTCAACCTGGAAGTGCTTATCAAAGCTTTAGCAAGGAAGCTATGGCATCGAATCGGTTACTGAACCAAGGCTTGCAGTTTTATTGCCTTACGCCCTCCTTCAGAGCAGGGGACTTGGCAGAGAGAGGGAGAGCAGAATATGAGACCAGAACACAAAGTGATGATAGAATTATTGGATGTTGATTTGATTTATTGTAGCTTTTAACTCCTCGGTTAACCTGTTCGCTTTAGGAAAATGAAAGGGTTTTTCTAAAATGATCTTATGTTTAGAATGTTTAGCATTACGTAGTTGTCGTGATTTAAAAAAATTATTCTATAAAAAAATATTTTTAATTAAAGTTAATATGATATTTGTATATATTTGATTAAAAATATAGTTAAAATTAAGGTTGAATAAAAAATAATTTAATATATTTGATTAATAATATTTTTTAAATTGAGGTTATAAAATAAGTAAAAAATATATATATTAATATTGATGATTTTAAATTTAACTATTGTAAAATTAATTACTACTATTACATCATAAAATAAATAATACTTTATATAAAATATTTTTTATTATTTTATTAAATCATCTACAATTTTTTTATGTATAAAATTCATTCAATAGGAACTATAGTTTCTATAATTTTTTAAGTATGTAATAAAATTAGATAAAATATTATCAAGTATAAAATTAATATTACGGCGCGAGTAAATTTAATTCAATTTATACTAGTTTTTTTAAAAAAAAATTATTCATGTAATAGAATGAGTGAATTTAATTCATTCTAACCTAAATTTAAAAAAAAAATTATTAAACTGGGAAAAAAATTATGAACAGTACAGTGAAGAATACAATTTTCTTACCAAGAGTATAAATAAATTATACTATTACTTATACTATTAACGTGAACAATACAAATAAATTAAAGTTGAAACTTGCGAAAAAACAGTGCTTCCTAAAAATCGAGTTTCTGCCGCATATAAATGAGGGGATCCACATTTTTTATTTTTTATCGATTTGTAACCAAACGGCTAATTAGTGTCTTTTAAGAAATACTATCGCTAACGCGTAGACAAACGGCTAATCAAAGGTTTCTGTTGCTTCTGCCTTCAATAACTGTGCAGAAGAATGAACATTTTCAGGGCATGAGGAGAGGACCGCCATCCTGCTGATAGAAGGATTCTTCATAAGGGGCTATTCTTGTCTTTGATTCAGGCAGCTCAAGATCTTGCCTAAACTCAGCAGACATCTAGGCAAAATCCTCCATCCGTGTCCTTTTCCATTCCTTTTGACAAACAGTAAAAACAAATAAGCAAGCATGAAAATAGAGTAAAGGAAAATGTAGCCATTAAGTCATCAGAAATATTGACTGGAGCATCAATGGCGATGCATTGCCCAGCACTAACCTAAAACAACATGGAATAAAATCCTAGTATCTCTATTTCTCATTTTCTTATCACCCCTTCCAGAGCAGACAGTCTTAAATGCACAGCAGGTCCTCCACTACCGTTAAGATCATCCAGCAGATTTACAACAAAGCCTAGCGTATTTTTATTGAAGAAAGAAACGAAAGAACCTAGGTGTAGGCCTGATTCCATCTTGAGCTCGCATATCCTGAGACACAGCGACTTCACCAAATGACGCAGCCATGACAAATCTACAAGTACATTTCTTAACAAGATAATACTGTTGTTGACCAGGCATGAAAGCATGATAACCTCGACTCCATCTCGTTCTCTTACCTTTTGGGGTTGCGCTAAGACTGATACTTTTGATTATGCATGAAGAGATTTGTCCTTGTGCCTCCTCGAAATCCAAAAAGAACAACAAAGACTAAGAACAGGTACGATGACAAGATTTATCATTTTTAGACTACTAGATTCTCACAGTTTTAGAGCAAAAGTACTTCAGCACGAAGCACAACAAGCCCTTGGTAATAGGCTTGAGAGTTCAATGAGTGTAACTTCAAGACAAATGGCCAAAGAATAAAAATAGCTACCATGTTAGGAAAAGAAAGACATGCAGCCTATTCTAGCAGCCTAAAAAGGATTATGATGATAATTACAATCTCAGAGCAGAAATGACGATAGGGAAGTACCTATTCCATTTCAATTTGCAAACGAGGTTATTTGTCCCTGGCAGCGACCAATTAATTAACGGAATTTATTGGATGGTGAAAAAAAGGAAACTAGCTTGGACTGATCAAGACTTTGACACCACAATCGGGGTACGAAACAAAGCCATCCACCATTGCCTTAATGTTTCACTTTTTGCTGTTTGCTACTTGCTGAAAGCAAAAATGGAACTCATGGTTCGCGATTCATATTCTAGCATTCCCCTCCTCTTGAACCTTTTTTACCCCAGACCAATGCCTATAGCAGCTACCTGGAAAAGATAAAATTTCAAAACTCGTGAGAAACTATTCAACTTTGAATGTCTAATCTAAGGAAAAGTATGATAAAACTAAAAGGGCGACATGCCACTTAATCGATTGTTCTTTAATTGAAAAAAAAAAAAAGGATTGTTCATGATCAGCAATGTTCTTCACATTCAATTCCAATCCTGCCGAGAAGGAATTGGCAGCTCACCTTCTTAGCAAACAAGAAGTGCATGCAATCAGTGAAGCATGGACATCCCATTTTAATATGTGATAAGAAAGCATTAAAGATTCCTTGAATTGAACTCACTTACCATCAAAGAAACATCAACAGTGACTCTTTCATACTCAACATCCTCAAATTCATCTAAAATGTATAATTCTGGATCCGTGATGCCATGTAGAACCTGGATTAAAAGGAACCCATTACATTGGATGCTGTTTACGATAGAAGAATCAAAATCACCACGAAGAAAATATAAACATATATCATTGCATGTTTATTGAATTTAACCAAACAGCACACGCACACACAAACGGCACCGACCAAAACTTGAGTTCATAAGAAAATTAAATGATTGCTAAGATTAAAGAAGTAAAAAATTAGGACTTCAATACAGCAGTGAAACATTGAGGTATTGAACAGACCTTGCCTGAGACTTTCTTGCTCTCCACAGGTAAAATTGCAGGGTAGACACGCCCTTTTATGCTAAACCTGTGTTACAAGCTGAAGAAGGAGCAGAAGATAATGGCGGGCATTAATTCAAATGAAAGCTACTGGTCAATTGCTATAAACTGCACCGTTTTAATTTGTCTTTAAACGCACCGTTTTGTTGTTATTGAAACTCATCGTTTGGATGAGTCTCTACTCACCGTTTCAGTAAGGCTTTTCATTCTGTTACAATTCTGTTATAGGAGGAAGTATATAACGTACATCTATTGCAAACAGACTCTGGCCATCCTTCAATTCATCCCTGCACACCTGCAGAACTCCATAGTTACAGGATCGTTAAGTGTCTCACACGTAACAACCTGTGACTACAACACAACAACGGCGAAGATTATGCTAAACAAAAAGGAATTTAATAAAAAATAAATCGTTGGTTATGATCCGTTTGAACTAACATTAATAAAATTGAAAAAAAGAAGAATTAGAAACTTTGGGAGGAAGAGGTGGTATGAAATGAAATCACAGGCTAATTTAAGTTAAAGAGAGAGAAAGAGACAGACTAGCCGTTGAGGATGGCTGGAGAGGATTGAGGGATGCGACTCGAGAGGGCACGAACAACGTCATCAGCGAGCAGGCTGCCGTAGACAAACACGTTGTGGACCTGATTGCCTGCTGCTGCTGCTGCCATTGCTATGGCTGCCGAAGAACTACAGGACAAGACAAAATGGTGTCCTTGCATATCTATGGCCACAAGGGAGAGGACACTCGTTTGTGATATGAAACTTTCATTTTGGTCCTCGAAGTACAAGATTAGGAAATGTTGCCCTTATTATTCGCACGCACAGTATTCGATTGATTGAAGGCCTTTGGGTGTTTTAATATTCTCAATAGCTTTGCAAGATTGGGATTTGTTTGAGTGGTTTTTCTTTTTTAATCCATTTATTAGAGATAAAGTTATGACATTTCTGTACCGGTTCAAAGCTAGTGTTATTGGTTAAGCAAGTTAGGTAAATATAAAATAATAATATTGTCTTAATATTTTTTAAAAAAAATTAAAAATACATTATTTTATTTTTATAAAAAAGTTAAAAACCTAATCCTTATTTGGTGAAAGACTGGAGAGACACAATTTTCAAAGCTATTGAATGGTGATTCATGTGAGCCCAATCAACGAAGTTAAGAACTCCATTATTTTTCACTTTTTAGCACAATAAACAATTTCCTCCTCGTCAGATCAGATGTGATTCTCTCTTGTTTCTCTCTTCTTCTTTTTCCCCGTCTTTTGGTATTACAAATTTGTTGGTTGAAAATAAAAACAACATTAATTCAGAGACTTTCTAGACATCGGAATCATGAAGAAGATCATTACTGACCAGTGACCACTTCGACTCCATCTGCATCTGCATTCAAACCCAGAGACTCCTTCCTGGTCTCCCATTTTTTCACCCTGAGGAGATTTTCAAAGCGTTCTGCTTTTGATCCCAAACAAAATTAAAAATCGAATCAAACATCCAAATACATAGACCCTCACATGAAGGAAAGGATATTAAATTGTTCACTATTCTCTTCACTGAAAATAAAAGGTTGCATAACATTTGTTGTCCCGTCACCTACTACTCTTTTCCAGCCATTTGGCTAATAAGAATTGAGTATCATCTATGCTCCGAATTCGAACCTAAACTAACCAAGGTTAGAGATACGGCATTGTCAAAAGGCTAGACAGACTACTACAAAGAACAACTCTTCTCTGGTTTGAGAAGGCCAACAGAAGATTCAGAAATAGTGTAACTGGGTTATTGAAGTTTTGTTTTAATCTCTGATTGGTCTTCCACCTTTAAGAGTCCATCACGACTGCTTCTTGAAGCGAACGAAGTTGATGGGCTGGCATGTGGGATTTGAGAGCAGCTGGGGATGACCCAGATATCTTCTTCTCCACGGGAATTCCATTCCCTTTAGTTCCCAGAACCTTCCTCACCTCTTTTGCCAGTTCAATCACCGTGTCATCTTCATGACCTGTTTACACATTCAGGTGCATTATTAGCAAAAACAAATTCAAGGACAGGCATGCACTTAACATGGTGTATTCATTGTGAATTATAAGTGTACACAAAGGAGAAAAATCTTACCTATAGCAAACATGGCTCTTTCTAGCGAGAACAGATAGTCTCTGTTGTTCCCGCATGGTCCATGAGCAGTTGCAATTTGTCTGAAACGTTACAATTACGTTACAAAAGGATTTATAATGTAATTGTTTATGGACAGTACTTCATGCAAGCATATAAATGATGGTTCTACAGGAATAGATTGTGTCATCAAACATACCTAGCCATTTCCTCCAACGGGGCAGGCCCAAGGTAGTACTTGTTTGATAATTTGTCTGGAGTGGAAGTAAAACTGCACACATGAACACATTCTTTTAAGAAAATCGTGCAAAAAGAAGATGAATATTATAGACATTGTCTCTTTTAGCTAAAACAGAATGAAATCACAGACGCCGAGTGATAAACTAACACTATAACTCCAGTTAAAGCAGGCTCTGAGGGTTCCCCTTCCTATACGGAGGAAACGCGCAAATGGATTAGAAATAAGAGGGCAGAGAGCACAAAGACAAACCTAAAAATCAATTGGCAAATTCAGAAACTTCAATAAAAAATAAACCATTATCTTACCTTGTAAAAGTCTACGAGGGTCTTTTTATCATATTCGCATTCTCTCCTTTCCAAATACTACAGAAGTAATGCACATCAATGTCAATACGTGCAAGAAATTATAATCAGTAGCTGCTCCTGTAACGAAGGGAAAAGATTTCCCAGTTCATAATGAATGAGCTGATTTTAAGTGAATAGGCATATGAGTTTCAAATTAATTGCCTTAGTTATGCCACTCCATTTGAGATCATACCACCTACATTTCTCCCATCAAATTATTTATAACCTGTTCTGCACAATCTAAGCAATGTCAAGCTGTAAATACAGCAACGGGACGTACCTCCATTGACAATCTTTCCCTTTCGGCACCTCCCCGAACACAATAAGCAGCTCCCCACTACAAGAAAAGAAAAGGGAGGAATAAGAAACAAGGAAAAACACAAGTCTATCGATACTAACAAATTACTAGAGAGTAATTCTGCAAAATTTAATCTGAAAAAGACGAGCATTTTTGGCTGACCATCACCGCTAACAAAACCAGTTAAAAGGCTTGAGAAAGTTGCTAAGCTGTAGTGCTTACGCAAATAGCTCCTTCAACATTTTCCAACGTGCAAGTTCTTGCAGGACTTTCAGGTGTACCTCTGTGATCAATGCAAGCTGGCGTACAGATGATGAGATTTGTTAATAACAGCTGAGCTAATTAAGACTATAAAAACTCAAGATTATTACTATAATTGACAAAAAGACTTCAAATTAATATATTAATAGAGAAGAAACATACCAAGATCAAAAACACGCCTGTAGTCCTTGATAAAGCCAATCACTTTCTCATCATATTCAAAACCTGGGTTCCACACCAATGAACCATAGCCAAAAACCCAGAAAACCATTTTTGCTTATTTCCTGAGAAATCATTCCATTCACACAATTAACAATATCATCAGAATTTTAGTCAACACCAATAACAGTAGTTTTGATTGTCCTGTTCCCCAAAATCAAAGGATCAACATAAAATCAAATAAAAACAGTTCCAATTCTATGGTGCATTACTGCTTGCATTTATAACATAGATCAGAAATATTTTCCCTTGACAAAAGATTCTCACTTTCGGGTACACCGCACTAGACAGAAGCAAAAGTTAGATTACACGATAAAATCAAGGTTGGAAAATTTCACTGGCTGGTAATAAGTCGATTAAAAAGACAATAAATGACAGACATTGTTAAAGTCACAGGAAAGACAAAATACAAGAAACGGAAATCTGAGACAACAAAAGATGAAGTCGAACAGGAAAGGCCAAAGAGATGGGTCTTACAAGGAGTGGAGCAAAATGGAGACAGTGTTGCGTGACCCAAGTCCAAGAGGGAGAAAACTGAGATTTATGAAGACGGTGGCTGAAGAAGGGCAATGGCTGGCTGATAGAGAGAGGAAACAACAAGGGAGAGAGATGAAAACCGGATTTAAAGGACTCTCTCTCTCTCTCGTGGCTTCTCGTTTTTTAGGAGAAAGGGATTGAGAGATGGGGACAAAGAGAGACCCTATTTATTGAGGAAGGAGAGGAGAGAACGGTGAGAGGTTGCTTCAAGTTGTTGTGCCTTCCCTACTCTCCACTCCTCCATCCCATCCCATGCCAATGCCACCGGTGTTTTTTTATGTATGCATATGTTTTGCATGCATTTCTTTTTCTTTTTTCACAAAAAGAAAAATAATTTATTTTTCTAAATAAAAAAATATAAAACAATGTAATTTGAGGAGAAGCATGTGTAATTACACCATTCTATGTCACCGTAAATTTTTTTTTAGATTAACGTGAGTGTCCGGGCCAACTTGCGCGCACCACAAGCCCTGAAATTAACGACCATGACCGTAAATTTCTTTCTACTAGTAGTATTGAGTACTATTGGTCCACCAATATTAATGTTATATTTGGTAACATGATTCAGCATATTTTTTAAAGTATTTATAAAAATTATATTTTATTATAAAAAAATATTAAATTAATATTTTTTATGTGATTCTTAATGATTTTAATATTCTAATATCAAAAATTTAAAAAATATTATTTTAATATATTTTTAATTAAAAAATACTTTTGTAAATATATCATGCATTGCATCACCAAACACGTAGTAATTATATATCTCTAATATTACACGACAAAATTAAGTAATTTACATATAAAAAAATATTTATTTATGAATAATAAATAACTAGTAAGGAAATATATGTGAATTTTGTCCCTTGTCTATCAACATTAGCTTGGAATATTATAGATATCATTTGATGTTGTTTTTTTATTGGCAATAACAAGATGAGATTTATCTTGAATTTAGAAAAAAGATTTCACTGCCTTAAGTTTAAGATAATATGGAAAAGTTCATCCCAGAAAAAATGGCTACTCCATATAATTAATCTTATTGTTTTATTTTCTTTAATTTCTCCTTTTATGCTCATGAAAGTTACAATTTTGCTATAATTTTTAAATTTTTTATCCAATAATAATAACTTGAATCTCTCCCAAGCAAAAATTCAATCCAAGTGTAGCAATTTTGGCTTTAACAATTTGAAATAAAAATAAATTAATGTATCAAAACTAGTCAATTAAAATTGGTTTTAAATTCATTTCAACTTTGAATTTTTAAAAAACTAAAATTTAACTTGATTATTTTTTATTTGAAACCAAACCAAAACAAAATTAATTGTTATTGCTCAATGAATAACAAGTAACATTTTAGTTATTATTTTTTAAGACTAACTTCGAAAAAAAACACAAGGAGACAATAAAAAAATAAAATTTATAACTAACTAAAAATAATAAAAATATTTACACTAATAATTTGTTTCCCTCTCATATATCTATTTTTTAAAAAAAAAAAACAGATAGATACAATATCGTTACTGTATCTTTTTATTTTTAATAAACCTCGTAGATTAATTAATAAAAGATTAGTAATTAATCCATCATGGTGTTATTTTTTTTTAATAATTATCAATTGATACATGATGATGGATGATGTATGCTAGCATGAAATCAAATCATATATCCATCAATTCTCC